CATCCCTGAGAGTGTTTTCCAAATGCTGCTTGAGCTCTGGCAGCCTCGGAGCTGTGACCATTCCCTGTGGAGCCTGTTCAGTGCCCCAGCACCCTCTGGAGGAAGAATCTTTCCCTGATGTCCACGCTGACCCTGTTCTGACACAGATCCAGCTGTTCCCTTGGGTCCTGTCCCTGGTCACACAGAGCAGAGATCAGTGACTATAATGGAGAAAAATATAATTTGTGCATAGTTAACCACAGTCACATCAACCAGTTGCTGTCCTGTGTTCAGCATTTCTCACAATTTCAGTCATTTTTATTTAATTTAAATTGATTCTCAGCTCTCTTTGTGCTTTGTTCTGGTTCCCAGGCTCAGGCTGTACCTATGCAGAAGTGAAAGTGAAAGCCCAAGACACAAATGCTGCAACAAGCTGCAAATCATCAGGTGAGTTTAGCTGTGTGATAAAGTGATGGGAATTTAAACAAGAAGAGCAGAGGGGCTGATCCTGATGCCCTAAACCTGCAGTGACACAAAACCATGAGGAGGCAGGAGGATACAATTGTCTGTTTCCACACTCAGAGCAGGGGCAGCTGAGGTGTTGCATCCTGTGCCCCTGAACACTTGTTGGCTTTCCTGGCAAAGGAATAGAAGGATGTGATGGGGCACACCCAGACCCCCTGAGCCCAGGCTCCTGTCCCCAGCAGCAGGGAAAGTGAACAAAGGAGAGGAGGAAGCAGAGGGAGGGCATTGATTGCAAGGCCTCTCCTGCTTTTCCCCTCTCCTCAAAGCCATGGCAGGTGGGGGATCTGTTCAGTTCCCTGAGCTCAGGGCTCCAGAGCCAGTGGGGAAGAACCAGGACATTGAGCCTGGCTCCAGCCTGCAGATCTGGAAGGCCCCAAATTCCCAGTGGGAGCCTGAAAAGGAAACCTTGGAATGCAAGGCAAAGGGGCTTTTGTCCAGCTGTTCCCTGATCTTTATGTTTCTGTCCCTCTGTAGGTAAAAGCCGTTGTTCCAGAAAACATGTTGCCATATTGGTGGTGATAATCCTCATACTGGTCCTGGCAGTATATTTAATAATCAAATGTAAGTTCTTTTGTTAGTGTCAAAACAGCCATTTATTTGTGTCTCTCTCCCACTGACTGAAGTCCAGTGACAAAGCCAGTAGGAACAGAAGTTTGGTTTGTAGGCAAAGGACAGCAGTTTTTAGCCAAGCATGGCTGTAAGAGGAAATGTGCAAGAGAATAGAGTGGTTTTGAAAGTTTAAAATTCCAACAGATAAAAAAGCCAAAATCCCAATGAAAAACTGACAATATTCAAATGATGAAGTATTTATTATATAAATGTTTTGAAGAAACAAGGTGAGATTTGGTAATGCCTACCAGTAATACAATTGCTAACTGTGAGAATCCCACAAGGTGATGAGGTTGTATCATAAGACCAAGATGTCCATAACACCAAAAATCTTAAAATAATTAGGAATTCAAGTTCATTTGAAGGAGGCAAGTAAATCACATCTGAAAGGAGTTTCCTGAAGATCATAACATATTTTGAGCTACATAAAAAGATAAATTATATTTTGTAGAAAAAAAAATCTTACTTCCATCAGAAAAAAAAAATTAATAGAACCAATTGGTATTTCCTTTAAAAGTTTTCAAAAAACCATTTTAAAACTTCAGATGGTTTTGCTTGTTTCTTTCCATCCTTTCATAGCTGAGAAAGCTTGAGAAGTTTCCACAACCAATCACTCCTAAGTCCCACAGTTTGCCACCTGCTCAGAGATGCACATGGGGAACACTTTGATCCTTGGAACTTAAAAAATGGGCCTGGGGAAAGCAAGTCATTCTTCTTTTTCTGGGCAAAGAATTCAGGACTGATAACTGACAGATAAATGTCAAACAGCAAAGGCTGGGGCAAATTAAAAACAAATAATGAACCAACAGAAAATAAAAGGTGTCATTAGCATTTAATACAGCTTTAATTTTAACATTGAAAGAGGAGTTCTTACACTTAGATCCAGGTCTGGCTTCAGTTATCATTCTTTTGTGAGGCTCAGTTCTGTCTCTGAACTGCTACAGACCTGAAAAAGTACTCCCAAGTAACTTGAGATCTAGATCAAACTTGAGAAATGAAATCAAGGTAGCTTTTAAGTTCAAAAGCACAAAGTTTCACTTTGCTCCAAATCAAAACTGGTGCATTTTGAGTTTATAAAAATGCAGGTGTTGAGTGGTGGGTGCTGCTGCCTATGATCTGTTCCCAACAAAGCTGTGCTGTAGAAAAGCAGGTTGGGTCAGCATTCAGACAACACAATCAAACCCCACCCTACACTCACCGCAGCTGGCTCAGCCAGAGAGCCAAGAAAGGCTCTTCTTGCAAGGTTTTATTCCAGTGAAGCATGAGGCTGAAGGGGACCAGTGAGAAAGAGAGAGAACCACGTGGAGCAGGCAGCTTAAGAAGGGGAAGGTGTGGGGAGCAGAGCTGAGGGCAGGGCAAAGGGGACCAGTATCCAGGGGAGGGGGGTCAGCCAGGAGAGGACAGGGTGAGGGGAAAGCAGGGGAATTCCATGTGGGAGTCTGTCTTTTTCCATGGTAGGTAATCATCGCCATTGATAGGGCAGAGGACTTGGGAACTGGCTGAGAGATTTCATGGGATACTACAAGTTTATGCTAAGTTTTACTTTTGTGAGAATTTTCCACAGGGTCCTGTTTTGCCAAATAAACTGTTATTAAGATATAACTTGTGTAAATGAACTCAAGTGTTGCCTTTAATTATGTGGAACCCGACCATGTTATGATTTTTAAAGTAGATTCATGAGCAAAGAGGAAGAGTTTGCATTCTGTTGGGTGATGGGGGTCAGAGAGGTCCAGCAGAGCTCTGACAGTGTCTGGCACAGTGGTCATTCCTTGCAAGCAGAAATTGTGTTCTTATTTCCAGATGGTCCTACTGCAGGCAGCCAAAAGGGCTCAACAACATCGTCCCTCACGAACCAAGAGGACACAACAACACTGTCCCACATCCCTGAAAGGGCACCAGGTAGGCAATCCTCTGTCTTTCCAAAGGGAATTGCCAGAAGTCTGTTGGAGTGATGGTTAAGGGGAATAGAAAAGGAACTCTCTCAGGATTTTGTTCAGAAGAAAACAAACAACCCCTCTGCCATGTCACAAGTACAAACCTCAAACTGGGACACTGCCAGGATGAGCTCTGGAGCCCATGGAGGGTTTGCATTTGCAGCTCCTTTAGAAGCAGAGCAGGCTCAGCTCTGCATTCCTGCTCCCCAGGGAAGAGCTGATGCCTCTGTGCTGCCAGAGCAGAGCAGTGGGAGGCAGGGAAGGCACAGGAGGAACAATCCCTCAGGTCCCCAGCCCTGCAGGGAGCAGGATGGACAATGTGCCTGTGCTGCTTTCCCAAGGCCCCTCCATTGCCAGCCTGTGACCTCAGTGCAATTCCAGGCTGCCCTTCAGGAGCTGCTGGATCCTCAACCAAAGTGTCTCCTGCAGGCCCTGTCTCCCTGAATCCCATCCCCTTTGCAGCTGCCCCTCCCTGCTCCTCCTGCTGCCCTGCCTGGCAATGCACACAAATGTTGGTGCTGCCAGTAGCACCTCTGCTGCCCAATTCTGCATCAGGCAGACCAGACTGTGGGGATCTGGGGGCTGCTTTGTGCCCTGAGCATTTCTCTGTATGCCCTGAGCAAATCTGGGCAAGGTGGGATCATGTTTGCTGTGCTGCTGCTCCCAGTCTGGCTCCTGCCCGCTGATTCTGGGCTGCCATCAGCTCCAGAGGCTCTGGGGGATCCCTAGTGCTCTGCTGACAATGCTCAGCAGGAGCACACAGGCAATTCTGGGGCTGGAATGGCCTCTCTGACCTCTCCATTGTTGTGGCATCCTTTGGCCAGTGTCAAAATGGATTTTACACACCTCTTCTTCCCTTCTGCAGTCTGCCCCACAGCATGGAGGAAACATGGCAGAAAATGCTACTTCTTTTCTCCAGAGAAGAAAGCAATGGACTGGAATGCCTCCCGTGCAGAATGCACTGCCATGGGCTCACAACTGGTGGTCATTGACAGCAAGAAAGAGCTGGTGAGATCCAACTCCTGGGGCAGCTGCTCGGGGGGCTGGAGCTGCCAGGCCAAGGGCTGAGCAGTGACACTTGTGCCAGCTCCTGTCCCATGGCCTTGGGCTCTGGGACCTGCTGCCAGCCATGCACAGCCCAGGCCTGGCAGTGGCAGCAAAGGCCTGCACAGAGAGAGGCCTCCTGGGCCTTGCAGTGCTGTCCCTGAAAGCTCCTGTGCCCAGGCCTGATCCCATGGGAAGGAGCAAAGTCCCTGCCCAGCTGGCTGGGCTTTTCCAGGGATTTAGCACACAGGCCATGGAGCTTGAGCAGACACTTCTCTGGGAGAGCCATGGCTGGGACATAACCTGAAAAGGCTTTGCCACTCCCATCCAAAGGGAAGAGTGTCCCCAGCTATATAATCACAGCTGTTCAGCTCCAAATTATACAGATAATGGCACCACAGGTGTATCATTGCAATTTTCATATGCATAAGGGGCCTCCAAATGGGAGAAATGCAATCTCTGGAGCAGTGGGCAGAGGTGCTGTGGCTGGATGCACACTGCACTCTCTGTGCTGCCTGTTTAGCCCTGAGCCTTCTGGGCCTCTGCTGAAGAAAATGTCATTTTCATGTGTTCCCATTGTTGGCTTCCTTTCCAGAATTTCCTGCACAAAAGATCAAAAGATAAATACTACTTACTTGGTCTCAGATACTCTCCAGAGGAGCGGAAGTGGAAGTGGATCAACAACGTGGAACATGACCCAGCCATGTGAGTTCCTTCCAGCAAGTCCCTGCCATGCAGTGTTTGGGAAGAGGAAAATGCCAAAGGCAGAGCAAAGAGCAGAGAGCCCAAGGGAGATCAGGGACTGTGCTGTGGGGGAAGCTGATTGCTGGAGGTGCAGGTGCTTCAGCACAAGCCTGGGCCAAGCAAAGGGAGCCTTGCAGGGCCAGGGAACACAGGGCTGTCCTGTAGGGATGGCAGGAGAGGACACAGCTGGAGTTCTGCTGGGGAAGGAAGGATCTGCCTGGATGCAGCTCCCTGGGGAAAGGAAGGGAACAGGAGGCAGGGACAAGAGAGAGAGGGGGATGTCAGCACCATTGGCTGGAGGGAACCAAAGATGGGGAATGTTTCTGGATGGGAAAGCATTGCCCAGAATCTTTTGTGGAGATGTGGGGAACAAAAGTGAGGAATGGGAGGGGGATTCCAGCAAGGCAGTTCCTGCTCCCAGTAACAGGAACACAGCTTAGCAGCCAGGCCAGGTGCCACTCTGGCTTTCACTGCATGTCAGGAATAGAACCAAATTTGACTTTTTTCTCCTCATCAGGTTCCATATAAATGAATCTTACCGTGACTATCACTGTACAACCATTGGATTTGGTGAAGTACGCGCTGCACCTTGTGGTGGATCCGCAACAACACAAAATATGTGTGAAAAAGCTGCAACAATTTCCAACAGGCATCTGTAGGAGAGCTAAAACCAACATGTGCATGCTGATCTGTTCTGCCCAGCCTCCTGTAGGAACCATGGATGGGATGTGTCCCATTTCCCTTGAGCTGCCCAGTCTCTGCTCCCAGGCTCTCCTGCAGCCTCTCTCCAGCCTCGGGGCTGAGCTCAGCCCCGCCTTTCCCTGCTGATGCCTGAGCCTGGATGGATCCGCTCTGGAAGAGCTGGCCCTGGCACCCAGGAGCACTCTGGCACTGTCTCATGCCAGAGGTGGCACTGCCAGGCAGGCAATGCCAGGGGAGAGGAGTCCAGCCTGGGCACAGGGGTGATCCCAAATACATCCCGACTCATGGCCAGCCCTGTGTTCCCAGCCCTGCCTGGGCACAAGGAGAGCCTTCCCCACCTGGCCACAGCCTGGCCTTGCCTGCAGCCACAAGGGAAGGGCAGCACAGATTTCTGGCTGGGATCCTGCAAGGAAGGGCAACCCCACTCCTTGCCGGGATGGACAGGAGAAAGTCAGGTGTGGGTGTGGATAAACCTTCCCCTGTCCCAGACTGTTCCAAGAGCACACAGGATCCCAGAGCCTGTGAGGGGAATGGGAATCAGCCCAAGGGAAAGGATCCTACAACAGCACACCTCTGGGCATGAAATCAGCCCCAGTCCTGTGTGGGGAAGGGAAGGAATGTCAAATCTTAGATCTGCTTGGGAAGGGCACAGTGTGGAGATCAGCAGAGACCAGCAAGGCCTGGAGAACAGAGTCCCAAGAGAAGCTGAGCTGGACAGAAAACAGGACAATGAAGCCCACAGTGACCTGTGAAGGAGTTGGTGAGAAGCATGAGAGTGACCCACAGGGAATGGCAACACAGTGCTCTGCCCTGTTTTCCTTGGAGATTGCTCACAGGACAGGGCAGCTCTATGGATGTGCTCTGGGTCCCCCCAGAGAGCTCTTCTCAGGTGTCTGGGCTGACTGCTGGGCCCCTGTACAGTTCCTCTCCTCTCCATTGCATGGAATAAAGCTTTTCTTTCCAAAACACAAAGCAGTGCTTGTGTGTGGGTGGGTGAAGCTTTGGGAACTCGAGACACTTTCACCCCAGAACCACTTCCTAACACAGGTGACCTCAGGGAATCCATGACTCTGGTGTTGTGAGGTTCCCAGGATGAGGTGAGGGATGACAATTTGACTCCATGTTCTCAGAAGGCTGATTTAGAATTGTCTTGGCTTGGAAAGACAGGTGTCTCCTACGGAAGGCAGGAGCCTCCCCCAAACTGGAGAATGTAAACCCTCCCCACCCCACCGAATTTCCGTAAATTTTAAATTAAGGGGCTCTCTGGCAAAAATATGGGAGCAGAAAATAACAGATCTTTAATAGGGAAGAAAAAAAATAAAAGGATAAAATAAACAATGCAGTACATGAGAACAACCGTGACAGAGTCAGAACCCAACCTGACCCCCTGTGGGTCAGGGTGTTGGTAGCAGACCAATTGGAAATGTTGCTGCAGTCCTCCTGAAGTGTCAGTTGGGGCTCTGTTGGGGCAGGGGTTCCAGTAGAGAAGGATGTATTCTTCCTCTGCAGAAAGAGGCAGCTGCTGTTCCTCTGGAGATTCCAGTGGAGAAATCCATCCTGGTGTATCAAAACCTCTGGATTATATCTGGGTAGCAATGCTTGGCTCCTCCCTCTGGGCGGAGCATCTCACCCTGAGATGTTACAGTTCTTATCAGTCATGCACTGACATTCAATAGCCTGTTATCAACAGATGGCCTCTCCTGAGGGAGGAGTGATTGTGGTCACTCAGAGAGAGACAAAGCAAACTGCCTACTTGACAACAGACCATCTCCCATACTGATGGTAATTGAAAACAACTTGCATTGCAATCTTCAACAATAATTTTATTATGCTATATTAAAAGAAATTTTATACTAAAACTGTACTAAGGAAAGAGAAGGGAGACTTCAGAAGGCTTAACAAGTATGATAATGAAAGCTCGTGACTGACCCCTCATTGTCTGATTCAGCTGATGGGGATTGGTCATTAATTGAAAACAATTCACATGGAACCAATCAATGACGGACCTGTTGGAAAATGATCTGCAGACCACATTTCCAGACAATCAGATAATTCTTGTTTTCATTCTTTTCTGAGGCTTCTCAACTTCCCAGGAGAAGAAATCCTGGGGAAGGGATTTTTCAGAAAACAACATGGAAATAATGAACTTGTATTTTATGTTCCTGACATAAAACCATGTGCCTTCAAAAGCTGAAGTAGAAATAGACTTTGTTGGGCAGGATGAAACAAGAAAGCCTTTTAAATATGACTGATTTTGAGAATATAGAAACTATAAAGGAGATTGAAATGAAAGCAACCTTTGAGATACCGTAGTTGTGACCAGTTGAATGTAATCCCCCCGGAGGAAACAATTCCCTCTGCAAGCAGGCAGGCCTAAGAGTCAGAGCTGGCCTTGCAACTTGGCAGATAGGGCCCAAAGAATAAGATTTAGGGTTTAACACGCAAACATAGTATGCTAATGTAGTGATTCTTATAGGTTGTGTGGAAATGTTATAGGATATGCATGCTGTAGTAGATTGGTTAATGAGAATCTGCATATTCAACACTGAAGACGATTTATTGTGTTGTAACGGGAGCTTCTCGCTCCTTTTGCTCTTTTTTCGCTCGCTCTCCGCGCTCTCTTATCTCTCTTCTCCCTTATCTCTTTGCCTGCTCTCATGCTCCTGTTTGCGCCCTTTTCTTTCTTTGTCTCTTTGTCTTCCCTCTGCACTCCTTCACCCCCTCCTTTCTACATGCTCTCCCCTCTTAAATCTTTGTGGTTGACTCTCTCACACTTTAAGCCTCTCCTCTCTGGGCCCTGCTCCGAGCTGTGGCTGGCAGCTCGCAACAGGGCCCTTCACCCACGCCCTTTGTAATATACCGATAGTTTCATGACTTGGCTTCAAAGAGATCTCGTCTCCATCCATCCCGACCGGAAGAGTCAAGAACTTCCTGCTGAAGGTTGGAGAGGGGAGGGAGCTCTGAGTCGTGCCCAGCCCAGAGTGTCACTGTCACAACAGCCGAAGCAGGAGAGAGCAGAGTGGAACCAGAATGGCAGAAAATGTCATTAACTCTGACCTGAACTTGCCTGAACCACCCAGAGCCAGGCTACACACCATCCCTGATGGCCAAGGTAGGTCCAGTGCTGGGCACTGAGCTTTCTTTGCATTCTCCACTCCCTCTCCCACATCTCTTGAGAGAGTTTCTTGCAGCACCACAGCCCCAAAGAGCCCAAGGGAAACATGAGGGCCAGGGAAGCAAAACTGCAGGTGGAGTGTCCAGAGAGGGTTGTTGATATTTACAAAGGCAAGTTGTTGGAAGATCTACTTTTCTCTTGCTAAGGTGCAAGTGTCAGGCAGTGTCTCTGGGGTGAGATTAAGAGTCCTTTTTATCCATTTTGGAGAGCATTCCAGAGCTGAACATCCATTGCTGCTGGCCCTGGCCTGTTGTCCACCAGCAGACTGAGACTGCTGCAGCAAACTGCTCAGGGTGGAGTGGCTGCTGTTGCTGGTGCTCACAGCAGTCTCCTGCACAGCTGCTCCTGCTCCCTGAGCACAGCAGGCACTGCCTGGGGGCTTCTGCTCCTGCTCTGGCTGTACCAACTGCTTGTTGAATGCACCAGTGTGAAAAAATGTTTCATGGAGAGCTTTAGTCTGATTTGGGATCAAACACTTTGCAAAATTCTAACCGANAGCTGCTGGATCCCCAACCAAAGTGTCTCCTGCAGGCCCTGTCTCCCTGAATCCCATCCCCTTTCCAGCTGCCCCTCCCTGCTCCTCCTGCTGCCCTGCCTGGCAATGCACACAAATGTTGGTGCTGTCAGTGGCACCTCTGCTGCCCAATTCTGCATCAGGCAGACCAGACTGTGGGGATCTGGGGGCTGGGCAAGGCTGGATCATGTTTGCTGTGCTGCTGCTCCCTGTCTGGCTCCTGCCTGCTGATTCTGGGCTGCCATCAGCTCCAGAGGCTCTGGGGGATCCCTGAACTCTGCTGACAATTCTCAGCAGGAGCACACAGGCATTTCTGGGGCTGGAATGGGCTCTCTATCTCTCCATTTTTGTGGCATCCTTTGGTCAGTGTCAACATGGATTTATACACCTCTTCTTCCCTTCTGCAGGCTGCCCCCCACCATGGAAGAAACATGGCAGAAAATGCTACTTCTTTTCTCCAGAGAGGGAATCAAAGGACTGGAATGCCTCCCGTGCAGAATGCACTGCCATGGACTCAGACCTGCTAGTCATTGACAGCAAGAAAGAGCTGGTGAGATCCGACTCCTGGGGCAGCTGCTCAGGGGACTGGAGCTGCCTGGCCAAGGGCTCAGCAGTGACACTTGTGCCAGCTCCTGTCCCATGGCCTTGGGCTCTGGGACCTGCTGCCAGCCATGCACAGCCCAGGCCTGGCAGTGGCAGCAAAGGCCTGCACAGGGAGAGGCCTCCTGGGCCTTGCAGTCCTGTCCCTGGAAGCTCCTGTGCCCAGGCCTGATCCCATGGCAAGGAGCAAAGGCCCTGCCCAGCTGGCTGGGCTTTTCCAGGGATTTAGCACACAGGCCATGGAGCTTGAGCAGACACTTCTTTGGGAGAGCCATGGCTGGGACAATACCTGAAAAGGCTTTGCCACCCCCATCCAAAGGGAAAAGTGTCCACAGCTATCAATTCACATCTGTTAAACTTCAAATTATACACATAATGGCACCACAGGTGTATTCTTACATTTGTTATATTCATCAGGGGCCTCCAGAAATGAGAAATGCAATCTCTGGAACAGTGGGCAGAGGTGTTTTGGCTGGATGCACACTGCACTCTCTGTGCTGCCTGTTTAGCCCTGAGCCTTCTGGGCCTCTGCTCAAGAAAATGTCATTTTCATGTGTTCCCATTGTTGGCTTCCTTTCCAGAGCTACCTGCTCTCACAATCAATACAAAACTACTACTTACTCGGTCTCACACGCTCTCCAGAGGAGCAGAAGTGGAAGTGGATCAACAACGTGGAACATGACCCAGCCATGTGAGCTCCTTCCAGCAAGTCCCTGCCATGCAGTGTCTGGGAAGAGGAAAATGCCAAAGGCAGAGCAAAGAGCAGAGAGCCCAAGGGAGATCAGGGACTGTGCTGTGGGGGAAGCTGATTGCTGGAGGTGCAGGTGCTTCAGCACAAGCCTGGGCCAAGGCAAGGGAGCCTTGCAGGGCCAGGGAACACAGGGCTGTCCTGTAGGGATGGCAGGAGAGGACACAGCTGGAGTTCTGCTGGGGAAGGAAGGATCTGCCTGGATGCAGCTCCCTGGGGAAAGGAAGGACACAGGAGGCAGGGACAAGAGAGAGAGGGTGATGTCAGCACCATTGGCTGGAGGGAACCAAAGCAGGGGAATGTTTCTGGATGGGAAAGCATTGCCCAGAACCTTTTGTGGAGATGTGGGGAATAGCAGTGAGGAATGGGAGAGAGATTCCAGCAAAGCAATTCCCAGTGCCAGTGGCAGTAACAGAGCTTAGCAGCCAGGCCAGGTGCCACTCTGCCTTTCACTGCATGTCAGGAATGAAACCAAATTTGACTTCTTTCCCCTATTCAGGTTCCATATATCTGGACCTTACCGTGACTATCAGTGCACAGTGATTGGATATGGTGAAGTACAAACTGCACCTTGTGGTGGATCCACAACAACACAAAATATGTGTGAAAAAGCTGCAACAATTTCCAACAGGCATCTGTAGGAGAGCTAAAAGCAAGAGGTGCAGGCTGATCTGTTCTGCCCAGCTTCCTGCAGGAACCATGCATGGGATGTGTCCCATTTCCCTTGAGCTGCCCAGTCTCTGCTCCCAGGCTCTCCTGCAGCCTCTCCCCAGCCTCGGGGCTGAGTTCAGCCCAGCCTTTCCCTGCTGCTGCCTGAAGCTGGATGGATCCCCTCTGGAAGAGCTGGCCCTGGCACCCAGGAGCACTCTGGCACTGTCTCATGCCAGGGGTGGCCCTGCCAGGCAGGCACTGCCAGGGAAGAGGAATCCAGCCTGGGCACAGGAGTGATCCCAAACACATCCTGACTCATCTGCAAGTCCCATCCATGCCCAGCCCTGTGTTCCCAGCCCTGCCTGGGCACAAGGAGAGCCTTCCCCACCTGGCCACAGCCTGGCCTTGCCTGCAGCCACAAGGGAAGGGCAGCACAGATTTCTGCCTGGGATCCTGGAGGGAAGGGCAAACTCACTCCTTGCCAGGATGGACAGGAGAAAGTCAGGTGTGGGTGTGGATAAACCTTCCCCTGACCCAGACTGTTCCAAGAGCACACAGGATCCCAGAGCCTGTGAGTGAAATGGGAATCAGCCCAAGGGAAAGGATCCTAAAGCAGATCAGCTCTGGGCATAAAATCAGCCCCAGTCCTGTGTGGGGAAGGGAAGGAATGTCAGATTTAAGATCTGCTGGGGAAGTGCACAAGATCCAGATCAGCAGAGAGCAGCAAGGCCTGGAGAACAGAGTCCCAACAGAAGCTGAGCTGGACAGAAAACAGAACAATTAAGCCCACAGCGACCGGTGAAGGAGCTGGTGAGCAGCATGAGAGTTATCCTCAGGGAATGGCAACACAGTGCTCTGCCCTCTTTTCCTTGGAGATTGCTCACAGGACAGGGCAGCTCTATGGATGTGCTCTGGCTCCCCCCAGAGAGCTGCCCTCAGGTGTCTGGGCTGTCTGCTGGGCTCCTGTACAGTTCCTCTCCCCTTCATTGCATGGAATAAAACTTTTCTTTCCAAAACACAAAGCAGTGCTTGTGTGTGAGTGGGTGAAGCTTCCACTCCAGAACCACTTCCCGACACAGGTGACCTCAGGGAAACGATGAACTGTGGTGTTGTGAGGTTTCCAGGATGAGGTGAGGGATGACAATTTGACTCCATGTTCTCAGAAGGCTGATTTAGAATTGTCTTGGCTTGGAAAGACAGGAGTCTGCCACGGAAGGCAGGAGTCTCCCCCAAAATGGAGAATGTAAACCCTCCCCAACCCTCCGAATTTCTGTACATTTTAAATTAAGGGGCTCTCAGGCAAAAATATGGGAGCAGGAAATAACAGATCTTTAATAGGGAAGGAAATGAATAAAAGGAAAAAATAAAACAATGCAGTACACAAGAACCACAGTGACAGAGTCAGACCCCAACCTGACACCCTGTGGGTCAGGGTGTTGGTAGCAGTCCAATTGGAAATGTCGCTGCAGTCCTCCTGAAGTATCAGGTGGGGTTCTGCTGGGGCAGGGGTTCCTGTAGAGAAGGATGTATTCTTCCTCTGAAGAAAGAGGCAGCTGCTGTTGTTTTGGAGATTCCAGTGGAGAAATCCATCCTGGTGTATCAAAAACCTCTGGATTATATCTGGGTAGCAATGCTTGGCTCCTCCCTCTGGGCTCCCATCTCCCAATGGGATGCTGTAGTTCTTATCAGCCATGCAGGGACATTCAATAGCTGTTATCAGCAGGTGTCCTCTCCTGAGGGAGGAGTGATTGTGGTCACTCAGAGAGAGAGACAAGGCAAACTGCCCACTTGACAAAAGACAATCTGCCATACACATGGTAACTGAAAATGTCTTGTATTGCAATCTTCAACAATAAATTTATTCTATTATATTAAAAGAAATTATATACTAAAACCATACTAAAGAAAGAGAAGGGAGACTTCAGAAGGCTTCACAATTATGATAATGAAAGCTCGTCACTGACCCCTCAGAGTCTGACACAGATGATGGTGATTGGTCATTATTTGAAAACAATTCAATGGAACCAATCAAAGACGGGCCTGTTGGAGAATGATCTCCAGACCACATTTCCAGACAATCAGATAATTCTTGTTTTCATTCTTTTATAAGGCTTCTCAGCTTTCCAGAAGAAGAAATCCTGGTGGAGGGGTTTTTCAGAAAACATCAGGGAGACAATGAACTTGTATTTCCTCATGTTACTGACACAAAACCCTGAACCTTCCAAAGATGAAGTAGAAATAGACTTCCCGTTTCAGTAGAAATTTCGTCATGACCAGAAGAGTCAAGAACTTCCTGCTGAAGGTTGGAGAGGGGAGGGAGCTCTGAGTCGTGCCCAGCTCAGAGTGTCACTGTCACAACAGCCGAGGCAGGAGAGAGCAGAGTGGAACCAGAATGGCAGAAAATGTCATTGACTCTGACCTGAACTTGCCTGAAGCACCCAGAGCCAGGCTACACACCATCCCTGATGGCCCAGGTAGGTCCAGTGCTGGGCACTGAGCTTTCTTTGCATTCTCCACTCTCTCTCCCACATCTCTTGAGAGAGTTCCTTGCAGCACCAAAGCCCCAAAGAGCCCAAGGGAAACCTGAGGGCCAGGGCTGGAAATCGGCAGCTGGAGCGTCCAGAGAGGGTTGTTGATATTTACAAAGGCAAGTTGTTGGGAGATCTACTTTTCTCTTGCTAAGGTGCAGGTGTGAGGCAGTGTCTCTGGGGGGAGATTAAGATTGCTTTTTATCCATTTTGGAGAGCATTCCAGAGCTGAACATCCATTGCTGCTGGCCCTGGCCTGTTGTGCCCCAGCAGTCTGAGATTGCTGCAGCAAACTGCTCAGGATGGAGTGGCTGCTGTTGCTGGTGCTCACAGCAGTCTCCTGCACAGCTGCTCCTGCTGCCTGAGCACAGCAGGCACTGCCTGGGGGCTTCTGCTCCTGCTCTGGCTGTGCCAACTGCTTGAATGCACCAGTGTGAAAAATGTTTCATGGGCAGCTTTAGTCTGATTTGAGATCAAACACTTCACAAAATTCTAACCAAGGATTTATCTTTTTTTTATGACTTTAAAATGGTTGCATAAATGTTTGCATTGGTTTTGCAATATCTGCCATAAACGTGCATCCTAAAAATTAACAGATTTCATACAGTGTGTCTCTGTATTTCATTTTAATTTTTCTTTTCCTTTTTTTCTAACCCTGCTTTCACTCTGGCAGAAATTATTTCTTCCCATCCATTGCTTGTCCTTTGCCCAAAGTGTGAACCCCCTGCATCTCTTTTCCAATGACTGGAATTATCAATATTGCAGGAAATGGTGTTTTAACCTCTTTTGACTGATGGATTCACAGCTATCTCAACAGGAAACCACAATTGATGTCACCTGAATAAATGTTCACTTTCATTGTAATTTCAAGTTTTATGCATTTTCAATAACATTTTAATGTTTCTCTTGTGAATTTTCGAAAATATCTACCAACTCTTTTCTAATTTTGTGCAGAAAGCTTCCCAGGTACTGATCTCTAGCTTTCAGTAAAGAGTGGCTTTGTGCCTGGATCCCATTCTCTCAGAGCAGCCCTTTGAGCTCTTCTTTACTGAGCCCCCTCTCCTTCAGGCAGCTCCCTCTGTCACCCACCCACCCTCTGTGTGTCCTTCTGCAAACGAGGCCTTGCAGGACTCTCCTGCTTTTCTCCTCTCCTCAAAGCCATGGCAGGTTGGGATCTGTTCAGTTCCCTGAGCACAGGGCTCCAGAGCCAGTGGGGAAGCACCAGGACATTGAGCCTGGCTCCAGCCTGCCAACCTGGAATGCTCCAGAGTCCCAGTGGGAGCCTGAAAAGGCACCTTGGAATGCAGGGCAAAGGGGCTCTGTGCAGCTGCTCCCCACACCGTGATGTTTCTGCCCCTCTGTAGGTCAAAGCCATTGTCCCAGAGCACGAGCTGCTGCTCTGCTCGCTGTCCTGCTGGTGATCATCCTCCTGCTGGCCATAGCCCTGTATCTGACACTCACCACGGGTAAGTCCTGCTGGAAATGGAACACTGGCACATAAATGGTGTCTGTGTGCCACTGCCTGATGTCCAGGCCATGGCATCCAAAGCCAGGAGGAATGGAAGTCTGCTGAGAAGGCAAAGGACAGCAGTCTTCAGCCACCCATGGCTGTGAGAGGAAATCTGTGAAAGAAATGCCAGGAGGTTTGAAATTTTTAAAATCCAGGTGATAAAAAGACAAAACCCAATTGAGAAGTGACAAGGTTCAAACACTGCACAATTCATGATAGAAACACTTTTGAAGAAACAAGTCAAGATCAGATAATGCATGACCTTGATCAGATTGCAGCCCTTGAGAATATTTTGAGACAATGATATTGCATCATGGCACCCAGGTCTGACACCAAAATCCTTAAAATAATTAGGAATAAAAACTCCTTTGAGAGAGACAGCAAAGTTACACCTTCAATTTTTCTCATTGAATTTTTGTCACCCTACTGAAATAAAAGCCTTGTGCTCAGTGTCTGCAGAGATATCACTGAGTTTATAACAATCTCGGAGCTACCTAGAAAGACACATTAATTCCATAGAAAGAAAATGTTCTGATCTGCATGAAACAATGTGTGTAATTTTTACAGCTTTTCCTTTAAAAATTTTCAAGGAATGAGTTTTAACTGTCAGATATTTTTTATTTTCTCTTTCCATAATTTGATCATTGAATAAGTCTGAGGTTTCTCCACAGCCAATCACACTCAAATCCTAGAATCTCCCAACTACTCAGAGTTACCCATGGTGAAAAAATGCTAAAAACTTTCATGTATTTGGTGTAAAGCATAGGCTTGGGTGGGGTAATTGCTTTTTGGTTTTCAATGCAAAGAGTTCAGGGAACTTAGCTGATAGTGCTCTGATGTGTACAAAATGTTCAATATCAGGGCAAGGAGAAATTCAAAAGAAATAATAAACCAAGACAACAGAAGGAGGTGAAATTGGCTGCATTTAATGGAGCACAAAATCTGGACTTGCTGTGGTTTGTCTCTCATTGCTGTGGCTCCCTGTGTGCTGTGCCTCACATCCACCTCTGCTCTGGGAAGGGCTGGAGCAGTTCTGGGTCAGTTCTGGGCTTTGGCCCTTGGGAAGGGAACACCTTGGTGTGTGCTGCAGCTNGACAGGAAACCACAATTGATGTCACCTGAATAAATGTTCACTTTCATTGCAATTTCAAATTTTTACACATTTTCAATAATATTTTAATGTTTCTCTTCTTGTGAATTTTAGAAAATATCTGCCAACTCTTTTCTTGTTTTGTGCTCAAATATTTCCAGGTACTGATCTCTAGCTTTGAGCAAAGAGTGGCTTTGTACCTGGATCCCACTGTCTCTGAGCAGCCCTTTTTAGCTCCTCTTTACTGAGCCCCCTCTCCTTCAGGCAGCTCCCTCTGTCACCCACCCACCCTCTGTGTGTGCTTGTGCAGTCCACGGCTTGGAAGACTCTCCTGCTTTTCCCCTCTCCTCAAAGCCATGGCAGGCTGGGATCTGTTCAGTTCCCTGAGCACAGGGCTCCAGAGCCAGTGGGGAAGCACCAGGACATTGAGCCTGGCTCCAGCCTGCCAACCTGGAATGCTCCAGAGTCCCAGTGGGAGCCTAAAAAGGCACCTTGGACTGCAGGCAAATGGGCTCTGTGCAGCTGCTCCCCACACCGTGATGTTTCTGCCCCTCTGTAGGTCAAAGCCATTGTTCCAGAGCACGAGCTGCTCCTCTGCTCGCTGTCCTGCTGGTGATCAACCTCCTGCTGGCCATAGCCCTGTATCTGACACTCACCACGGGTAAGTCCTGCTGGAAATGGAACCCTGGCACATAAATGGTGTCTCTGCCACTGCCTGATGTCCAGGCCATGGCATCCAAAGCCAGGAGGAATGGAAGTCTGCTGTGAAGTCAAAGGACAGCAGTTTTCAGCCACCCATGGCTGTGAGAGGAAATCTGTGAAAGAAATGCCAGGTGGTCTGAAAATTTTAAAATCCAGGAGATAAAAAGAGAAAATCCAATTGAGAAGTGACAAGGTTCAAACACTACACAATTCATGATAGAAAAGCTTTTGAAGAAACAAGTCAAGATCAGATAATGCATGACCTTGATCAGATTGCAATCCTTGAGAATATTTTGAGATGCTGATATTGCATCATGGCACCCAGATGTGACACCAAAACCCTCAAAATAATTAGGAGTAAAAACTCCTTTGAAAGAGACAGCAAAGTTACACCTTCAATTTTTCTCATTGAATTTTTGTCACCTTACTGAAATAAAAGCCTTGTGCTCAGTGTCTGCAGAGATATCACTGAGCTCATAACAATCTCGGAGCTACCTAGAAAGACACATTAATTCCATAGAAAGAAAATGTTCTGATCTGCATGAAACAATGTGTGTAATTATTACAGCTTTTCCTTTAAAAGTTTTCAAGGAATGAGTTTTAACTGTCATATATTTCTCATTTTCTCTTTCCATAATTTGATCATTGAATAAGTCTGAAGGTTTTCCACAGCCAATCACACTCAAATCCCAGAATCTCCCAACTACTCAGAGTTACCCATGGTGAAAAAATGCTAAAAACTTTCATGTATTTGGTGTAAAGCATAGGCTTGGGTGGGGAAATTGCTTTTTGGTTTTCAATGCAAAGAGTTCAGGGAACTTAGCTGATAGTGCTCGGATGTGTACAAAATGTTCAATACCAGAGCAAGGACAATTTAAAAAGAAATAATAAACCAAGACAACAGAAGGAGGTGAAATTGGCTGCATTTAATGGAGCACAAAATCTGGACTTGCTGTGGTTTGTCTCTCATTGCTGTGGCTCCCTGTGTGCTGTG